GTCAGTGGGTCATTGGCTGCTCAGTGCATCTGTGGCTACAATTAAGTGTGTGTATATGCATATAAAGAAGTAATAAATATAAACCTGAATGGATGGTTCCAAAAGTCAAAGGTCATGCGTAGCTTAGAGAATTCCCACCCAGCCAACTACTGTCATTATCATTAGTATCAGTAATAAACTTTACAAAATAAAAAATAATAACATTATTATAATGAACTTATTATTATTCTACTCAAACAGAAATCTAATCTAATTGTAATCTATTGAACGGACCAGTGCGTAGGATTTAGTGGCATCCAGTGGCGAAGTTGCAAATTGCAACTAACTGAACACCACTGGTGTCTGTATTGGATGACCTGGGAATGAGAACGGGCTGCGAAGTGTGTATGAGAAACTATGGTGGCCGCAAAACTTGTAAAAAACGTGAAAGGCCCTATGTGGAGCCAGTGTTTGGTTTGTTCATTCTGGGCTACTGTCTACTGTAGAAATATGGTGGTTCAACATGGCGGACTCCATGGAAGGCGAACCACTAAATTACACTACACTAAATTACCAAGTAGTAGTGTCACTTGGTTCTGGTATCTGAAAGTCATGTAACATGACAATTTTTTATTATTGTATTATTGTATTTTTAGTTGCATTAATTAATTAATTCAACTAACATGCATGCAACCTTTCATTTAATTGCAAGAGTCAGCCCTGCTAACAGCTCAGCAGTGGTAACGTCAACATACTAATATGCTCGCAATGACAATGCTAACATGCTGATGTTACACAGGTATAATGTTTACCATGTTCACCATCTTAGATTAGGCAACTGGCATGCTATCAATTGTTAATTTGCACTAAACACAAGTACAGCTGAAGCTAATGGAGATGTCATAGGTTTGGCAGGTATTTGGTCATAAACCAAACATGATGAACATGATAGAAATGTGAACCGATGTTGGTGCCAGATGACGGGTGCTCACCAAAGTGACCGTGAGTGGGGCATGAATGTGTGTACAACATTTCATGGCAATCCATCCAATAGTTCTTGAGATATTGCACCAAAAGCCAGAAATGTCTGCTAGTGGTACTAGAGGAAACGTCTTCGGATCTCCAATGTCACAAGAATTCAATCCGACATCCATTAAGACATGCCAGTATATCATAAGACTACCTGGTCATCATTTCATCCCCCCAAAAACGTAAAATAGACTAGAAATCAGTTCTCATTCATGAAAAATATACCTTTCTGTCAACCTACTGAAGTGATACAAACAGCCTTCAGAGAGTAAAAACAGGAAATAGGACCCAGGTTAAAGGATGATTATAGAATACCAGCACAGATCAGCCACAGGTAACTAAACTCTCTCTCTCTCTCTCTCTCTCTCTCTCTCTCTCTCTCTCTGGCTCACCTGGGACCCTTACCCCAATACCCCCACCCCTTCCAACACCACCAACTTCCCCACACATCCCACCTCAACCCCCATATATCAATTTCCTTTAGATGTTCCCCCTCACACAATTGAAGTAACTAGATTCTTTCCTTTGGCTGGCCAGAGGAGATATGAAGCAGCATGCACAATGGGCTATTCATTAACGTAGCAACACACACACACACACACACACACACACACACACACACACACACACACACACACAACACTCCCATTCACCCAACCAGCACCGTTCATGCCTTACAGCCCACACACACACACACACACACACACACACACACACACACAGTTTACCAACCATATGTCTCTGTAACATACGTGCATGCACCTGTAGGCATGCAAACACACACACACTATTTCACAAGGGCACACAGAAGGACATGCAAATACGTTCACATACCCACATATAGCACTCTCACACTCAAACAACATCCCACCTCACTCCCCAGCTGCAATGAAAGCCCGTCCAAGTTCTTGCCAAGCCCTCACACACACACACACACACACACACACACACACACACACACACACACACACACACACACACACAGATTCTACCACTCCTACTCCTCCTCCCTAACCAGTAACTCAGAGAAAGACAAGACGAACACAAAAGAAATGGAACTTTGGTGGTATGAGCACAAAGGCCGGATTCACAGACGTTCAAGAGGGGGACCTATTTAAATGTAACACAGCTGCATGAATTTATTAAGATGGACGGGGAGAAAAGATCAGGAAGGTCTTGTGGAGAGTTGAACTATTTTTATTACCCGTTTGAAGATTCCCTGACATTTTAAGTGGGGATGTAACTGATATTTATCACTGTTAGGGAATAATCCATAAATTATAGCTACTCAGTACTCAGCCTTTCGTTTTAGATTAGAAAAGGCTACTTTTAAAATGAAGGGGTGGTCTGATGCTTTAAAAAGAACAAGGAACCCGGGTTCAAACCCCTGTTGTGTTTTTGAGCGAGACTGTGAACCCCTACCAGCTCCGAATGTGTCGTTCCATGGCTGAGTCTGACCTCTGACCTCCCTGTAGGGTAGGAAAATAAATAGGAATCCATCAATATCTCATCATGACTGGCATTATTCCAGAGGAACTCAAGCCTGAGTGCCGCTTTTATCGCCAAATATAAGACAGAGTTGATTACATTTGTAATAACTTAATAGCTGCAATAACAGTAGCCCGAGATTCCTTGTGTATGGTTGACTGATCCACTTCAACGGGGGAACACTGACACACCTGCTCTGTGCTGCACAGGTGCATGCAGGAAGAGGGAAAGAGAAAGAATGTGTCTGTGGGTAAGAGAGGGGTATAAACAGCCTTCAGATGATACAGGTTAGGTTAGACCATCCTACACAATCCTACACAATCACATACAATGAGATTGTTGTCTACATCTCTGCTCAGACTTATGACAGCACCAGACTAATGTCATTGAACAGATTCCTGTGAGTCAGCAGGAGTGTGTTTGTCCGACACAGACAACAGGCAAACAGGGTGACACTCCCGTCTTGGCGCCTTTACTGAAGAACACTGTCCCTTAACAATACATTACAATTTACTTAATCAGCCACATCATTACATACAACATACAAAACAATGCAATGATTATCTTTTTGAATTGTGAAATTAGTTGTGATTTTAAATTAATGTTAATAAATGAAAAAATACAAAGCTATTTTATGTTCTTATCTGGCTCCTACTCTGACATTATTTCCTCTAAATCCAGCGTGCCCCACAGTTCAACTGTTTTATTAAATTATAACAAATCTGTACTTGTGTACAGAGAGTCACATCACCTGGCACTAAAGATCGGCCAATAATACCAGTTAGGTCAGTACCTGCTTTTCACCAGTAGATGCCTGGGTTCACACAGGTTTGGATTTTAAGGTTTTGTTACAATTTAAAGCTGCACATTTAAAAAAAAAAAAATAATAATAATTCATTCTTGGAGTCTTTTTGCCCTCAAAAGCATCGTATCATTAGATGAGTCCCTATGTGGTACAGAGATCAAATGTGAAATATAAAGACATAAACTTAAGAAACATAAACTAGGAATACATAATGTTTCGCTGGAGTATATGAAGTCAGGTTGAACAGTGGAATGATGGTCTGTTTAGAGCTCGATTTTGGTCTGGCCCCGGGCTGATGGGGGTCGGGCCCTCCTCAGCCCAATGGTCACAGGACCGCGTGGCCTATTAGGCTTCAGCTTTGACGCTGTCGACCCATATAGCCTGCTGACCTTTCACTGTGACCCTGTGTGCTCTCTCTCTCTCTCTCTGTGTGTGTGTGTGTGTGTGTGTGTGTGTGTGTGTGTGTGTGTGTGTGTGTGTGTGTGTGTGTGCGCTTCACAACAAACTACATCATCTCTGTCCCGTGACATGTTTGTATCATGTTTGTGCGTCCATTATAATCATCAATCATCAATCATCAATGTTTTAATTTGCAATGTGAGCCTCAGTTTCGTGGGCTGTACAGTGTAATCAAATCACTCATTTAGTAGCAATCTAAGGACACCCATTATAATTCACTGTAATTTCTCACCAATCACACAACATCACAAAGTTGCACTCTTACTAAAAGCAACCTTTTGTCCATAAATTTTTTATTCATGCCATGATTTTAAGCATTTGAACTATTCCTCACTGGGAGCAGGTCACACAGTAAATCATTATTATTTCCTAAAGATCTACAAAAAGTCTTGTATCATTTTACTGAGACCACTTTCTTTAAGGTTTTGTTCAGTATTTTGAAAGTTGCTTCAAATAGAAGTTTTGTTGGTTTTTTTGCTTTGAAAAAATGTAAAGCTACTTTGGTAAAAAAATAATAATAATTCAAATTATTTAAACATAATTTTCCGTTTTATAATTTTAAATAGGTTTAAGACAGGGCTTTCCATAATGGGTACATTTTATTCCACACTATAATTAGGCCTAATAGAGAAATAGTAGCGATCTTAAAAACTATCTTAAATTTTGGCAAATGGAAATTGAACAAGTTTTTCTATGGCACTTTTTTTCTAATGAAACACTTTACGATCAACATGTGTAACACTGAGGTATATATGGCAGCAGTATTGTCTTATATAACCTACAAATGCATTACACAATTGATGTTTTGTTTTTTCTAAACGTTTCATCTATTTCTCTTCACTTAATTCAATTTCTGCAGACTGAAGCCATCCATCATTAACATTCTAGGAAATGATGAAGCAAAAATAAATGATGCTCTTTTCTCCAGACAGATAAGCGCTGGGAGGATTTCTCACTGATCTAACAAAATATTTTTATTTTTTTTTTACTAGAAAATATTTTTGAAGCATTTCGCCACAGCGACAGATATCAAAAGTATGACCGAACAAATCGTCCCAATTCCTGCCTCCTTTCATCAACCCAATTTTCCCTCGAACTTGTTGCCATAGAAACATGTGTGACCTTAATTTACATTTTTGGTCTCACCTAAATGTCATCAGTTCATGTAGCAATGTAACTTTTTTGGGGGCCTGTTAATTTCCCCTCACAAACACACACACATGCCAAAACAAACACTCACGTCAAACCGAGGCCGGGCCGCAATCCTCCGCTCCGCAGCGGGAGAGAAGTCCCCGGAGTGGCTCTCCGAAGGTCCCCGGTTTAAAGCTCCAGGAGCCGGACAGTCCCACCGCAGCTCCCCGGGGCCGAGTCACCGCGCTCCTGGAGCATTTTTCCCCACATGTCAAGAGTTTGTTGAGACGCGGACAAAGAGTGGCAGAAGAAGGGAAGACACAAGCTTTTCCCTTCTTTTCTTTTCTTTTTTCATATGCACAGAACTGCTGTTTGTTCCCCATTTTTTTTTCATTTAAGGGGAAGGGGGTGCTCGTTTTGATCACATGATTACAATTCACCTGAGATAAAACAAAGGGGGCAAAGAAAGGAGGGGAGAGGAGGAATGAAAGCGGCAGCGAATTTTAGACAGAGAGATGCACTCATGGTTAGGATTCCCTTATCACAGGCGAACATTAATGGATAATGAAAAAAGTGGTGATTTTTGGATTGGGTGCCAGTGCGTCGCATGGCGGGGATACAAGGGGTCATTGTTGTGAAGAACAGCGCTTGTGTTTGTATCCGTGTGTCCCCTATCGTCTCTCCTTTCTGCATTTTCTACCAGTACTGTTTGGCTTTAAACGTGCGCTCAGTTAGAGGCGCTGATGCGATTATAAATCTCACACATGGATATGAAGAGGCGCAGTGTCCACGCCACGTAATCGTTTTAAGGGCCTTTGAATGTTGTCTAGACCTGTATTATGTGGTGGTAAATATAAAAGTGATCACTAGATCATACCTTGCAGTGCATAAATGTATGCTTTCACTTGAAAGAATGTGTCCATTTAAATCTTACAGCAGTTTCATAAAAGGATTTTTAAGTCAAATCAATTTGAGTCTTTGCGCTTCCTGATGCCGATTCGGAAACTTTGACCTTTATTAATGTTGAGTCAAAATCATTAATCTGCTTGTGAGGCAAAGTTTCCCCTTTTTCCCCTCCAAACAAAAGATTAGGCTTCTGATAAAGCTTTTTTTATTTATTTGTGGAGCTGTCACTGACAGAAAGCTGCGTTGTCTCCGAGCATGTTCTGAAACCTGAATTTAAACTGCGTCAGATTCATCAAATATTAGAACATTTCTCAGCCGATGCCACTTGATTTCACTTGAGAGTTCATTTTAGAATCCAATTTGTGTATTGGATTCGTGCACAGTTTGACTTTTAATAGGCTTTTAATTCAGCTGCTGTCGGACGGAGTCTGTAAATGAAAGGCTCATCTGGGTTTCTGAAAAATAGAAAATGTCATTAATTGGACTTCCTCTCGCGTTAACACCTAAACAAGGCGGGGAGTATAACACACCTGTACCATACAGAATATGCGTCGATTGATACCATAATGCATCTGCCCGTGTAAAATAGTCAGAGCTGGGTGTTGATGTACAAAATGAAAATCTTGTGTACAATTTACATGTTCAAAACTCTTTGCGTAAAATGTCGTGCGCACAATTTACGCACGCTCGTATCTGACTGTATTCAAGCTCAACTCATTAGAGAGAAACAGCACGTCAATTTTACAGATAGATAGATAGATAGATAGAGAAGGGAGAGAGAGAGGGAGAGAGAGAGAGAGAGAGAGAGAGAGAGAGAGAGAGAGAGAGAGAGAGTAAAACTATTACTTCAACCAATCAGGGCTCTCCGAGTCTTCATCTGTGCAGTTCTACTGCTCCTTTAAGACTTGTCCCCCCCAGTATCTTTTTATTTTTTTCCTCTCAGCCTCATACAAGGAGCTCTTTAAGCCCCGGTACCGACACACAGAGCAGGCATTCATACTCGGGCAGCGCGAGCGAGGGGGCTGGGGAGCGAGCGTCACATTGGAAACTCGGGAACTCACGGATTCTCGTGCTAAACCGGCGACCTCCTTTTCTCATTACTGAAGTAAGGCGCTTAGCATTTCCAACTCTTTCCTCTCTGCTGCTGGTGGTGGCTGCTCCCACTCTGCGATTTCATTTATTTCTTCTCGTCGGAATCACAGAGAGGAATCCCGACTCAGATTTTGAGATGAAATATTAATAGTTGCATGATGATTATTAACAACTCTTTTAGGATTCGTGAGCGAGGACTGTGGTTCTATACTGGTCCAAAAATGACTGATTTGTTCGTTGTGAAACTTTAATAATCTAACATTTGGGACATTTCAGCCATTTTACTTGTAGAACCATCTAATAATAATGTCATAAAATGAATTATCAGCATCAAAAACAGTGTGGTATGAGCTTTGAGAACATTTCACACACTTTTTATCCAGGGTGATGATCATAAACTTAATAACTCTCATGGTGAATCTTGTAATGATAGATTATTGTATCAGCGCAAAAAGTGCTTCTGTTTTAAACTGGTTTCTGGGCTTGGTTTTTATACATCGTTGATCATCGTTTGTTTGGACTTCTTATCTTGACATGTAATTTAAAATTCTAGCTTTTTCTATTCGACTAACTGAGAGTTTTATATACTAATAAAATCTTTTTTTTTTCAAACTGTTTATCAAAGAAAGGAGTTTTTATAAGTTTCAAGAGACTAAAGGAACTGTAAACGGACATAACTGACAAAGTAGCCTTATCCTAGACATGGAATTCGTGGGAAAAGTCTAAACAATTTATTTATATGTATTTTTCCTTGTTAGATTAGAGTGCTCCTGGTTTAACTACCTCGTGTGCCTGTTTGTCCTATATTTACTGTTATTCTGGAGCTGTGTGGACCAGAGGACACTGTAAATATAAGCTATTGTGAAACTAATTGAAAAAAACAAGCAAATTAAGGCCAACTTACTGGCAAGTCGAGCGGCGGTAATGAGTTCACATAGCCGAGATTCATTACGCACAGTAAATGTGCCCAGTAATGTAAATTAATAACAAGCATGATTTATATATTATATATTATCGGATAATAAATCAAATGACAGTTGTTGCCGCAGACTGGTGCCCAGTGGAGACTACTCTCTGTTGAGTTCATCATTCGTTTGTTTGTTCCTAATCTGAGGCTAAAGAAATAATAAACTTTAGAATGAATGCGGTCAGTGAGGAAGGGGAAATATTCTCAGTCATCCCCCTTTCCTTTATTTCATTGGACATTAGGAGCGAGAGAGTGTCGTGCAAACACAAGCAACACGTGCGCAACGAAGCATTTGGTGCCTTATTACGCACGATGTTTACGCATTGTGTCTCTGCTGCGGGGGCGCGTTCGAGGCGCGATGACAGTCTGTGAATTGGCCTTCAGACCAGGTGGCAGGCGAATATCATTATTAATGCGCCGTGGACAGATGGCGAAGCTTTACATGACCATCTAACTGGACACTGATACGATCGCTGACATCCACTCTGATGTTAATTAAAGGCCACGCCAAAAGAGCCTCTCTGCAATCAGCCAACAGAGCCAAATGCTTCATTTTTAAAATGATGATCAGAAAAAGTAGGCCCCAGAAATGAGCAGCATCAGTTTAGGCTAAACGTTAAAAAGAAGTGGTGAACACTTTTTCTCACATGTAAAGGTGAGGTAAGCAGAGTGTTAAGTGTGGCTATATTCCCCCACTTAACCTATGAACACACGTTCTGTTAAACTGACAAGCTATTTCATAATGTCACTAGACGTGAGCGAGATCACAAATGTCCCTGCAATGTGACACCGGAGCAGAAAACAAACCGGCGGGCTGTGGGTTGTTGGTTCACAGGAAGTTCGCTGATTTAGGACGTAAAGTTCGAGGCAGGGTGTTGATTTAATGTTCAAAACAAGGACACATTTTTGGTCCCGCCGATAGACCTGGCCCTGTTCAACAAACAGACTGTGTCTAATTCACACACGCGTACTGACACGCACGCACTCGGGGTTTATATTTCCAGCGCCAGGCCATGTTTATCCAAGAACTGCAGAGTATAAATCCAAGGTCTGTGCTGCTGCGGCCTCATATCATTCCAACACTTTCTCTCCGGGGAGCTTGGAATAACTGCAAAACCTTAAACAGTAGCTTGTTTGGGGCGGGGGGGTGGGGGGGTCCAGGCACTGCGCTATAGGCCACAGCAGCTATAAAGGCCTACTTATTTCCCACTTTAAGGATAAAAGACTCTACGATTCTGTACTATTATGGCAAATCTTTCTTTCTCATGAATATGAATGATGAAACCATCGTAGTCTTGCCTTCCATGAAAATGTTGTCAATACTCATCACATGACGCACTTCTCACATGGCTGGAGGGGGCCCATGTGAGCCCATGGCCCAAATGATTTTTGTTGGGGAAAATTAGGGTGGGGCAATCTTTTCAGGGCCAGTCTTATAGGTTTTATTAGTGTGAGAAAGAAACTGTGCAAAATCAAACACACATTTCCCCCATAGTGAGGCCCTGACTTGGCATGATCAGTACCTCCTCCGTGGGCATGCAGTGAGTGGGCCTACAGGTGTTGTTGGACTGTCACTCTTCCTCCGGCCTGTTGATCTGACGCTCCTCATCTCTCTGCTGTTTCAGGTCCTCGCTGTTGGATTTCAATCGTGGGACAAACGGAGGAGAGAGTGAAGGGGAAGTGAGGAGGGAAGTGAGACCGGGTGAGTTTGGCGCAGACCGTTGTGCATTAGCAGGTAAACTGGGGTCCAAGGTGCGCACTGAGCCGCCTATGATACCAACAACGCGGATGGAAAGAACTTTAATGTGGAACCCTCACAGAGTTTTGCAACGGAGGCTGAGAGTAGAGACAGACTGGCAGTTTATATTATAACTTACAGAGGAGGCCAGAGAGACAGATCAGACCGCAGTCAGCCGACACTCCGTGCGTCACTGTAGGGATAAACAGCAACAAGGACCCGACAGGTAGAGATAGGCATTTAGGAACAGGGCCTCGCATCCTCGGCGCACCTGGAGGCTTGTGTGTGTGTGTGTGTTTGTGTGTGTGTGTGTGTGTGTGTGTGTGTGTGTGTAGGAAGATGTCCAGAGAGGAGAATAGCTTATCGGAGGTTGAGCTCAGTCCCGGGATGTCGGACGACAGTCGCTCCCTGTCACCGGTCCACTCCTCCGGTGCGGCTGGCGGGGGGGACTCGCCTCTCCACGGGCAGCAGCAGCCGCAGCTGGCGGGTCTGGACGACACGGTGGCGGGCGGCTCCTCCGTCAAATCTGATGATGAGGACGACCGATTCCCCGCAGGAATCCGTGAGGCGGTGAGCCAGGTGCTCAACTGCTATGACTGGACCCTCGTGCCCATGCCCGTGCGCGTAAACTCCGGGAGCAAGAACAAGCCGCACGTGAAGAGGCCAATGAACGCCTTCATGGTGTGGGCGCAGGCGGCGCGGAGGAAACTGGCCGACCAGCACCCGCACCTGCACAACGCGGAGCTCAGCAAGACCCTGGGGAAGCTCTGGAGGTGAGGAGGCCACTTTATGTGGATAGTTCAGGGCTGACAGTCCGCCCATTGTCAAATCA